AAAAGTTAAAAACGAAACCTGACAACAGATGAACAATTTATTTCAAAGGCTCTACTCTGCCCGATCCTTTCTGTTGTCGAGAAAGCATCATTAGTAATTTGCGACGGGCAGTTTTCATTTTCGCGCCGGACAAGCCAAGTTGAGCCAAGCGCACTTTTTACTCGATACATTTTCTAAAAGTTCGACTCTTCCCTGGAAAAATCGACAACGAACCTCTTCCTGGAGTTTTCTTGAATCTTCTCTTCCTACAATAGACTTTCAAAACAGTCCTTCGTCCGATTTTTATATGGCGTGGGACCTCTCTTGATTGGCCGCTTCGCTCGCTAAACTAGTGAAAGTCGATCGATTCCGCGGTTGTTTCAATGGGTTTTTCAGGAGCTTTGTCATCTTTTAGCCATTTTTTGTTGATTGTAGTAGGAGCCCTTGTCGCTCTCTGCTTATTTCAAGCCCACTCTTTGCAAAACGACTGATTTTGTCGTCTTCTTTCGTCTTCGAGTCGAGGACGAAAACGGACAAGCTCTTTTTTTTTTCTTCTTTGGAGGCATTCACCTCCAAAATCCAAGGAAAAACAGTGAGCAATATACTGGTCTATATTTGTAGACCACGATTTCCATCAAATTGCGTGATTAGCTTGTTTTAACAGCAGCATGCGTATCAAGTATAACAGGACTTGTCAACGATCTATTAAAAATAGTTAGCGTAGAAAAAACTTTGCGCTCCATAAGTCTGCACAGAAAAACATTTTTTTCTTGGAATTTCTTTAAAGAAAGCTCTTGATGCCCTCTATTTAATCATCTGAAAATTGCAAATTCGAAAAATGATGATTTTTTTTACCCTGGATGATACCTTAAGTCAATATAAGGGGTGAAATGTCTTTCGTCCATTAAAACAAAACACTCCGATACCGTATTTGCTTTTATTATATACATACTGAGAAATACTCAACAAAAAGCTATGTCGTAAATTTTCGTGCGCAAATTAGTTCTAGCCAATCAGTATCGCGAACGATGTTTTTTCACGTGTGAGAAAAACGATACGTCCAATCAGAAGCCACAGAGGTGTGCGAGTTTTACGCCAAAATTCCCGCGTTTTATTGCGGTTTGGAATAGTTTCGTTTGTTTCACTGTCGATAAAGAAAACGGTAGAGAGCCGGCGAAACAACAGCGGAAAGGGATAAACAGAACGAGACGTAAGCTTTTGTTGTGCTTTTTGTCGGAGCTACTTTGCCTTTCATTTAAGCTTAAGCTTATATTGAAACCGGTCATTTTACTTAAATTCACTCATTTTCAATTGTGCACTGAGAACAAACAGTTAAGATTACTTGTAGTTCTTGGATTACCTCATATCCTCACCGTCATTTATGTTATTAACAAACGTTTTTACTTAAAAGCTGATACTTCGTTTTCGTTGTCATTTTGCGGTAAGTGTGTAGCGGCAAATTTAAATTTTAGCATTTTTGAAAGATTTAAAATAAAAAGGCCGCCAAAACGATGAATGTCTCAGTATGTATATAATAAACACAATACCACATGGAAAGTGCTTTCTACGGTATTTACGCACTCGTTGTTTTTGTATCAGAAATCTTACTCGTTTGCTGCGCCCACTCGTTCGATTTCTGATACGTCAACAACGAGTGCGTAAATACCGTACGCTAGCACTTTCCATGAAGTATTCTCTATTTATTATATGGCTGAGTCTGTTTTCGCCATGCGATTGGTCAATTTTCGGTCCGTAACTTGCTATACGGACCAAACTTTTTAAAGAAAATGCTCATTTCGGAGCTCTAAATCGCTTTACTTAAGAAAAAAGGTTTAAATAAAGCTATAAGAAGTCTTTCAACTTTGAGGACTTGGGTGTTGACTTTCGCCGTCAACATTTTAAACTGTGCTTATTTGTGAACGAACGCGATAAAGAAACTAACTCGTAATCTTATCGAAGGGGATTCTAGTCAGTGTTTGAAAATTTTATCGTAGTACACAGTTAAGAAGACGAAAATCGACTGGCAGAGATTCGAGATGTTTTGAGAAAATGAGTAATTCCTTCGACAAATATGATAACATACAGTACTGTGCAAAAGAAATGCAAACAAAATTCGGTGTTTTTCGTTCTTTGTTCTCGCGAAAATTCGACGAAATTTCGCCACGAATTTTCGTCAAAGCGCTAGCGAATTTTTGTTGAGTCAAACAAAATTTCGCTGTTATCTTGGCGAAATTTCGCATCCACTGAAGCGAAATTTCTTTTTGCCGAAATTTCGCCATGACGAAAATTCGCACCCGCAGAATTTCGCCATAGCGAAAATTTGCACCCGCGAAAATTCGCATTGGCCATATTTCCACAAAGCGAAATTTCGCTGGAAATGGAAGCGGGTTGTAATGAAAACCCTCGTTCGGATTGTTGCGTTTGCTTTAATCTTTAATCTTTAATCACAGTTCGTAACCATACATAACTGATACAAATGAACTAATACTAACATATACAATCGAACAAAAATACAAAAATGGTTAACAGGACGGTAGTAGGGGGAAACCAAATTCCCATGCTAAGACATACCTTCCAAAAAAGAAAAAAGAAAAAAAAGAAAAAAAAATTAATTAATATATAAACATATATTAAAAGACTATAAATTAGACTATAAATTATAAACCTAGATGCCTAATAATAATGCATAAACTTATATTAAAGACACTATGCCTAATATTTTAAGGTAAATTATGAGCGAAGGTACTTAATCAGTGAAACTTTAAAAGACTGAAGGCTAGGAGATGACATTACTTCAGAAGGCAAAGAGTTCCAATCATTAATATATCTATGAAAAAAATGAATATTTAAAATAATTTGTACGGGCAACTTTAGGCCTTATTTTATACTCATACTTACTTCTAGTTCGAGTTATTCCAATAATATCAAAGTAATGATGGCAATTGATATCACAGTAACCAAATATAATCTTATACGTTTGAACTAGGCTAAGATATTTCCGTCTCAGTTCTAAAGAGTCCCATTTTAACTCTAAAAGTCTTTCAGGATATTCTTTGTCGGGGCCACATATTAGTCGGGACGCTCTTCTCTGAATTGCTTCGATTGCCTTGGTGTGTTTCACCAGATAAGGATTCCAGACTGGGCAGGCGTACTCGAGGATGGGTATCACTAGCGCCTTAAAAGCTGTCTTGATACCAGTCTTGTTTGAATAACCAAATGTCCTTTTAATCAAGCCCAACACCTTGTTAGCTTTAGCACAAATTGAGTTAATGTGATAATCCCATGATAAAGACGACTCCAACCAAACTCCCAGGTGTTTGTGGTGGTCCACTTCCGGTAGTAAGATGTTATTCAACGAATATTGACATCTTATTGGATCATTCTTCCGTGTAATGTGTAGGACTTCGCACTTCTCGGTCTTAAGAGTAACAAGCCAACTCTTGCACCATTCAGAGGCAGATGTCAAATCCTCTTGAAGTAGATCGCAATCCGATCTATTTTCTATGTGTCGATGAAGGACAGTATCGTCAGCAAACAAATCTGAGTTGCAGGTTACTGAGTAAGGAAGATCGTTGATGTATGCAAGGAACAGCAAAGGCCCAAGTATACTTCCTTGGGGCACACCAGATGTAACACTTAACCAGTCAGATGCTTGACCCTCAATCACTACACGCTGTTTCCTTGACGTGAGAAAATCCCTTAACCAATTTAAAATCTGGCCTTTGATACCATAGCATTCCAACTTGTAGAGGAGATGGGCATGGGAGACTTTATCGAAAGCCTTGGCCTACTTGTACATGTAATTGCTTAGAGCGAAGTCTTGAAAGGTCAAGTATTTTTTTCAATTTCCAACATTAGTTGAGCAGATAAAGATCAAGGTCAAGTATTGAAAGGTCAAGTATGTTGGTAATCGTTAAACCTACCCTAGTCAAAGAGTTGACAAAAAAAAAAAAGAAAGAAAGAAAAATGAATGTTAGAATCTTATCTTTTCGTTTCTTTGTGATATTTCGGAGCGTGACAAGTGATACATGACCAAGTACGCGAATAACGAATTTTACGGCTCATAAGAGTGAAATTTTTTTTAGTTTTCGCTCTTTTAAAGATAAAAATAGCTGAGGCTATATCTATTCATTGTTGCGCTTGTATGAGAGATCATTTCACCGACATTCTCCATTTAAAAGAATTTTGAAATTCTTCTTTCATGCAACAATATCAAGACCATACAATACAATACAAATAGTTTTAATTTTGAAAAAGCAAAGAACTTATTTACAAGAGATACACAATGGTTTTAAGCTGCGCAGCACAGATGCTTCGAACGTTTTTGAAAGTCTTACAATGTAAAAACTATGACTTTTTCTTTTTTGATACAACTTTACTAAAGTAAAACGTACATCAGTGTTAACTTTCTGGTTTTTAGCCGAGCATTACAGCAACTTACGAAGAAAACTTGAAAATAACTAGACTTTAACTTAAAAACTTGACTTAATCCTCTCGAGTTTTCTGGTTCTTTCTTAGTAGCTGGCACCTTTTTCCGAGGCTTACTCGGCACGTTTCCCACATCCGATGTTTGTCTTCGTCATTGCGACACTGATATGCAAATGCTTTTAAAACCTCGGCTGCAAAGAAGAAGAAATTGTTTACATTAAAAATGGACTAGCTGAACCACAAAAGGTACCGTTCTCAGTACTATAAAGAATCACTACCCTTGAGTAATACACAAATTTTACATAAGACTGTAGAAATAGCGGGATGATTTTTTTTTAATTTCCAACATTAGTTGAGCAGATAAAGAGGACGATAAAAGTTACCGTACTAGCTCAGTATACAATTTATCACTACCATTAAATAACAGACGAATTTTAAATAATACCGGAGAACTAGCAATTTTCATAGCCTAGATACATCTCCAATCTTGACTCGCAGCGTTTGCTCTAGACGATCTTACGGTAAAATTTTGAGGGGTAAAAACAGTCTTAGCATTAAAATTCTGTAATTACACAGTTTTTTTCAATGCTGCTACCTTTTATCGCGGCTATTTTGCTGAAGTCCAGAGGCGGAAACTCCTTCGTGCCAGAGACAGTTGACTTGAGTAGCGTCTCCTTGGAAAATAGTTTGTCTGTTAGGCGAAGAGCCGGGACCGTGGGTTTGTGGGCCGCTCTGGCGTACTCGTAGTCCTCCCGGGAGAGTTTAACATTTACGTTGCCACCAATGACGGCCAAGCCAGGCAAATCTATAAAGTAATGAGATGTCAGTCAATATTACAGCACATTCTAACAGTGGATGGTAAAATAAAAGACATTGTTGATCTTTGTTAAGAATTTTGGAAAGATATAATTCGTAAGTACTCGGTTGCTCAAGAGGCTGCTCAGAGTCATTTTGAAGGAACAATCTCCGTCTGACAAACGATCGTTGAAGTCATTGTAAGTAAAAATATTGAATTTTGATTTTTCCCTAAGAGTCAGGATATTGTCTTTTGCAGTGTGAACATTAAAAATATAACCGTAAGATATTTACCACATGTGCTTGGCTCTTCAAGAAATCGTTCGACCCTCGGAGAGGGTAGACTGTCCGTTGAGGTGTGGAGAAGGTGTGGCTGAAGATCGTTGTTGTCGCTGGGAAACTGGAGGTTCAAGGCACGGTGAGGTCTGACTGTTTAGCAATTTATCCAGTTTTGCCTCCTGCCTGGCAAAGGAGCATTCAAGTCTTTCTAGGATGACTCTTAATAGGCGTAGATCTGAAACGATCTCCTTTTCACTTGTCTGGTATGCCTATAGGACGGCAAAAAAAGAGTTCAACATATTTTTGCATAATCCCGTATCAAAACGAAAAAAACTACAGTAATTTCATTTTACATTTTGAAGCTTGAGTTCACACCATGATAAATAAACTCGTCTTATCGCAATCATCGTCAAATTCGATATGTTGACCTCAATCACAATTTTTTTCTGTTTTTGACTTATCACTTCATAACATACTAAGCATTTTACATATGTGCATGTAAAATATTAATAACCCACTATCGCTAACACTAATTTTCTAACACGTTTGCATCTTCTGAACTGTTCGTTACTCACTTCTAAAGAAAAAACTGCGAAATTATGCTGGTATAGTACAAGTAAATTCTCCAAGTACTTAATATACCCTTGCGTGGATATTTTTTATACTTATTAGAAACACTGAGTACATAAAATGAAAAAATACTGACTTACGTTTGACGTTCTTTCCACCGTATTGACTGCCGTAGACTCTCTTGCCAAAGCAGGGGACGTTCAGGTAATGAAGACTCGGATGGCAGTCGATCTTGTTGGCGAGGATGGCGCTGAGGTGTAAGGCCTGATGCAAGAGGTCCTTCTTTTTCTGAATCGGAGGTGTCAGAAGAGTCAACAACTAAACTGTTTGTTGGAAGCTGTAGATCCAAGACCTGCCGAGGAAATAAATGCACATGTAGACGTAAGAATGAATGTCCGATAACTCTATCGCCCAGAAGACCGTTGCGCCCCGGACTACTATCCGCAATAAAAACATCGATCGTAACGAATGCTCTTAATTCCTACTCACTTATTAAACACAATTGTTGCACAGGGTAGATTCATCTAGTTGGTACAAGCATAACAATTGGAATAACTCTAGAATAGACCAACAAGAGCAAATTCGCGATAAATATATAGTGAGGGATCGATGTTAAAAATAGAGATCAATCTAGACAAGCTGTAACGATAAATGAATATATCTGCGCTTAACGGGAGGAATTGTTGAGGATGAGAGATGAGATGATTATAGCCAACTCGGCGCTACGCGCCTCGTTGGCTAGCTATCATCTCATATCCAACGCGCCCTCGTGGAATAATTGTTAAATATCCTGTGTACCCATGTTTACCCTAGTAATACTGTATACCCTGTATACCCCTATATATCCTGTGCACCCATGCTTACCCTAGTAATACTGTATACCCCAAAGAGAAGCTTCGCCTTCCATTTCCCTCGGCATGGACAGTGATCATGATGAATATGCGGAATGGATAAGAGTGTTTGAGTCGATTGTTCAACTCTTAGACGACTATGAGCAATATAGGCATAATACAGCCAACGTATCCACTCGAGAGGATATAGCAATCAGGATAGAGTCAGTGTTGCCGACTCAAACATCAGAGAGGTAGTAGACCTAGAGTGGTATGGGTTTGACCCATATACGCACCTAGACCACATGATGATGGTCTATCAACTGTTGAATTAGATGATGTTGATATAGACAATGAGGACGATGTCATCACTATTTTAAGAAATAGCATTGATCCCCTTGCAGTTTCGAACAGTTTTGGAATTGATTTGTACATGAAGGCCCTTTCACTTTTCACAACATAGTGGTCAAGGCATTGGTGTGCTTATTTATGTTTGAAAGAATGAAGCAATTCATAAATTACCCTCTTCAAAATATCTAGGGGTTTGGCCTGAGTAATCCAGTAGAGTCGCAATTTTGTAAACTAACTAGTTTGGGATAACTTTGGCAGTCAAGATGTAGCCATGCAGAATTTGTTTCACTGTTAAAAGAAACTGGATGTCAAAGAAGTTTCAAATGCCAGGGCTTGACACTCGTTTTATCATGAGATCAAAGGATCCAGGCTCAGTGCCTAGAGACACAAAAGTTAAAAGTGCATTATGTAATATCTTGTAAACTATTTAAACTTTTAGTTTAATAGAGCTTTTTTTTTCTCTTAATATCAAGGGACATTTAACATTTGGCATTGAACAGGAACAAAGCACTATGCATCTAAAACAATCAGTTGCCTTTCTCACCAAACTTCAACTTAAACAACATTAACATATTATTTCAGTCATAATTATTTGTATATCATTTGTCATTTTAATCATTTCACCCCCAGAAATGGCAGGAGCCAGTATTTGACAAAAATTCCAAATTTGTTTTGTATAATTATGCTGGAGAACAGACAGTCTTATGTGAAAATACTGCTTAAGATAATAATGGTCACATCACATGATTTCATCCACAAACTCAAAATGTTAGAGCCACCTTCCGTCACTCAGAGAGTGAAATGATTAACATATTTTATTTTCATTTACTCAATGGGACTGGACAGGAACTAAACAGTAATGCATCTAAAATGTTGAACTCCCAACACTGTATCTTGCCAAAATAAAAGCATTGTTATAAATGTTAAGACAATAATGGTGACTTTACTACATTACATTGTCTTGTATTAATTCTATTTTAAGTTATGGTATGTCAAGTATAACAGAGTACAATGCACATATAAATGTTTGGCACCCACTTTGGGCCTGTTTATAGGAAGAGAGGATGTCCTTACTAAAAACAGGTCAGCCTATACAAGAGGGACAACTTTGTTTTAATATTCACCCCCTCATCTTCCTCGCCAACAGCAACAACAACAACAACATCAAGTAAAAAAAGGCTCTTAGAAAGAGAGATTTGCAATGTAATAAAAATGTCCGTTAGACACGATGCTATAAAGTTGTTGACACAATAGCATCCCTGACAGTGATGTTATTTCAATTCATCACTAAACAATTTATACCATTATGGCAGCCAAAATGAATAATTAAATTTTAAGGACTGTTATGAGATAAAAAGGATGCACAGGTGCTTTAATTTTCTGAAACCGTGCTAATTTCTTGACAAATTCCTGAAAATTTTGTTTGAAATAGGATTCCAATGAGAAAATTCAATTTTGTGCCATGTTTGGGTGTAAAAATGATTGTCTGTCTATTTGAAAGTAGATGTAATTAATCTACCATAACTGTACCCTGCTAGCAGAGTCGCTTCCATCTTTCCTAGATGAGTCGAAGGGTACCATAACTCTTGTTTTCCAGGAAACAGGCAGTACCCAAATAGACACAAAGATTGCCTTTAGAATCCTTTTCGAATACAACAAAAAAGATGCATTCTTGAGAAAAACAGACACTTGTTGTGTGCCCTCTAGGCGTCACGTGACAGCCTCTAAAACTAAGTTATTCCACTTGGTCACTGTACTGGCAAAAAGGTCTACTGGCCTCTTTGTGTTACACTTACTAAAAAAGGTTCTTGCATTGTCACTGAATTGAAGGGCTAAGGGCACAGCATAACTTTTCAGGCTATTTTTTTCCTTTTCTTTCAGTGCAAAGTAGAATTGTCATACAGAGTTACAGCTCTTTTGTTTAAGTTCAAACCTTATGGTGATAGTGACACTTAACACAGCAAACATGTATGCTGGAACTGACAGTACTGCAGCATACCCTGAAATGTTGTCACCTTTGAACTGTATTGACTAACTTTTATGTATACCACCCATCAAACTAACAATTTGAACTCTGGATTTTTTTTACAACAACATTGGCTAATTTCAAAGTACAGACAGTACATTTGTGACTATTCATTACTTGCACGCTGCCATTTCATCCTGTTGTGAATGTGTTTCCACCAATCACCGAATGCATTGCCGCCTCAAACTCAGCATAATTTCTGAAATGGTTTGGAAGCTTTAGCTCCAGCAAGCAAGTTGATGCAAAAATGCTGTTTGCACTCTCACAAGAGACTGTTATACGTCGTGGAAGGATGCTTTTTGCTGAGCACCTTGTACCAGTGACGAACCTCAGAAAATCATCGAGGCCATCTGAATTACAATTCTTGATGAATGTCTGGAACAACTGGTATACCCTTTGAGCATTCTTGTCCTCAGAGGCTGGGAAATGAAGGCTAGCTACTGGCCACAGCATCATTACTTACTATGCCTTGGTAGACAAGGCATTCTTCAAACATCTCCGGCTGTCTCTGTATTTCATCTAACAAACCAAGAATTGACAGCCCCTTTCTAAATTGATCAAGAATTGCCGTCTTCTTCTCTAGAATGTTGTGAAACATTAGAGACTGGAGGACATCAAGCTTGTTATCAGCCTGCAAGAATACATTATTTAATTGTTTCATTACTGTCAATTATTTACAGCAACAGGTTACAATAATATTGTAACCTGTTGCTTGAATTATTTGTAACAAGCATGGTGCAGGGCACACTGCTTAACTACCAGAATATTGATCAGCATTTTTCTATGTTTTAACAAAACTACTTCTTTTCACAGTTAACCAACAATTTAACGGACCTCCAAGCTGCAAAATATAAGTTTCTTTGCCTCTATTTAAACCATGTAGCACTTAGCAGAAAACACACACAGCTAATTTTAGTGTTAACTAAATGTGCCCTATCTAACTTGTTACTACATAATAAATTAGGTTTCTACTTACTGTAAGTATTCTACTCTCTCTAGCTTCAGATAACAATCTGATAAAGCCAGATTCAAAGGCAATGACATTAAGCTCATCTGCTGGTGCTTCTGTGACCTGCAAGTATAGGATATGATCAAATGTCCCTTTCTATTACTATTGTCTACTGCAATTGTATGTAAATGTATGGCAGTCAACACGAATTAAGAGAAACAAAAATTTAAACCAGGAACAAAACTGAGCCAAAGCGTAGTGAAACCTGTATTAAGCAGAACAAGACGCTACGGAGCGTACACTTCGGCGTCGTGGTTGTGGAACTAATTAATTGTAAATGCGGTAAGAAATCAAATATGGTGAGAGTAAGGTGTTAATTTGTGAAATTATGGGATTTGTCAGGATATTCTGAAAAGAGCACATCCAAGAGGCCTACTTGCCAAAAACTAGCATTTCGGGACAAATTGTCTCCGAGATATTAGCCCAGTTATGCTCTGATGACTCCATACAAATCCTTCTAAAAAAACAATTCTCTATTTTTCTTAGTCACGTCAGGCTTCAAAAACAGCATAGCAGTCTCATGTACTGATTAAAGATATGTAACGCATGGGTAAGGAGTCAATTACGTTGAGCATGGAATTGGCTAAAACTCAAAGTCACGAGTTCGAATGTTTTGAGGATAATTATTCACTGACTATCAGCACGCAGAGATGTCGGATTAACACAAGGAAGTTTAACACCAAAGGAACATAGCCTTTACAGAGCTTTAAAACACAGCATCCAACAACGCAAACGTGACTTGAACTTTGAGTAAAACTAAACAGCCTCTACCAATAATAACAAACTCTCATTCGAACTTCAGATATCTTACGGCTTTCGCGAACTTGTAAACACAATACCTGAAAATTGACCTTCGTCACACTTGACTAAACACAGCAGTCCAGCTCGTCGGAAAAAACTTAGTTCTTCAAAAGAACTCGCTTGGAACTTGTATACCGTTTGACATAAGGTTCTAGAAAATACTAAGCAGCAGGCGAATAGTGGTAGCTTTTCGACATATTTTATGATTTCAGTAACTGATGCAAATCTGCTGACTCATGCTGAAATGTAAACATGCCCTAATTAATTATTCATGGATAATCCAAAAACGTAGAGAACGTTCGAGAAAGTCACGCACCGCATGAAAGCAATTTTACTACGTACACTCAACAAAGACAAAATGTCTTTTTGCAGCATTTGGTAACTTTAAATTCATCATAAAACAGTTCGAAAGGAGGGCTCACTCGTGAAATGTTTTTCAACACTCGAAGAGAAATTTCGTGTCTCTGCGCGGCCACGAAATATCCTCTATTTATTCCTCGAGTAATTAAAGACTAAACTCGAAGTGATCTCAAGATATCACGAAGTAGTCCGGTCCCATTTCGTGAAATAGTTGAAACAAGCCTAAAAGTCACGAACTTGCACGCCCAATCTTGTCCCAAACTAGTGCATCATTTCATAACTATTTTTCATATTCCAAACTACCTTGGGTCGCAGTAGCGCAATCGGCTAATCCCTCAACTTAGAGTCTCCTCTGATCTGACTGGTCACACAGGTGAGTCGGTTCAAACCCCGGGAAAGCCAAAGTAATAATTCTTTCTTCCTCGAAAAAAGTTAAAGAATAAATCAATGAAATCGAAGCGATTTCGAGATATCTCGAATTAATTCGGCTCTCACTTCGTCAAATAGCCGAATAAAACCGAAAACCTACAGACTTTGCATGCCCAATCTTGTCAAAAAATTGTAACTTTGATACATTCCTGAGCGTCGCGAAACCTTTACTTCGCGCTCCGCCGAAGTAAAAATGGTTTGTCTATTTGTTTTCTTTTTGTTTCTTCGCATGTTTTCTGTACAACCTTTCATTAAGCAGACTCCAGCAAAGGTCCTGCAGGTGTCCACTTAATACAGGTTTCACTGTAGAGAACAAACAATAGACTTACATTCTTGATGTACTCGGCAAGTTCAATGTCATCCACATCTGAGCATGTGGCCTTCTGGATGGCAATCTGTAGGTCACCAGTTGCCAGATACCAGTAAATGGTAGGAGACAGGTATGGGAATCCTGGACCTGACTGGATGAGGCTGTGAGCTATCATTTTACCCAACACTTCAAACAGTCCATTCACAACCAGTTCATTGCTGAATGCAAGTACTTTGCTGTTTTTATCTCCATTCAAAACAATCTTAATTCCTTCATTGTTTGCCATGGCATAAAAAAGATCACCAAATACCTGCCGTAATACGCCACCACTGTCTATAGCTGGCTAACCCTTTAGTAACAAAAAAACAGGAATTGTAGGGTCAAAGTCAGGACTTTTATAGAAGCTATAAACATCCATTACTAGATCATCTTGATCAACCTTGATCTTTTCACGGGTTCCCTTGGTTGCATCTTTGACCTTAAACGTTGCAGCATCTGAGGAAGAGTTTCTGGTCCACTTGAGATCTCTGGAGTGTGGTCGTCGTCAATAATAGCGACAGGGTCATTGCCTGCGGCATTGTACTGTAAAAGAACATTTACAGCAGAGTTCAAACTGCCACAGGTCATCACAGCACTTTCCATTACATCTCTTGGAATCCTAGGGAAGATTGAAGCAAGGTTATCCACTTTCTGTTGATCTATAAGTGGTGAATTGATTGCCCCTGAAGGTCTCAATTCATTCTCGTCGTCATCACTACAAACAGTACTAAGGCCAGCATCTGATGTAGTGTTCTGGGAGATTGCAGAGACATCCCCAAAGCCACTAAAAAGCATGTAACCCACTAGGTCCAGCCTCAGCACTGGTCGAAGGCAAACTTGTACTTAGAGCGGGAGCTGGTGTCTCGGTGATACTACCTTCCTCATCCTCGACTAGTGTGTCTTTGGATACATTGAGGCTGACATACAAGCGTCCAGTTCCGCAAAGATGTTTTACATGTTTGGAATCCCACACATGTTCCTTCTTTACTACAGGACTAGAGATAATATTCCTATCACGTCTGACAAAGTCGAAATCGCCATTTGTTATGAATGAAAGTTTTGCTTTAAATAAGTTGACCAATTCTGATCGTATGCCATTTTCATCAGCATCGCAATAAAGATCGCACTCTCCCTTCAAGATAATCATCGACTCCGTCAAACTGTATTCCTCGTCATCTTCAACGTCTGGCTCATCCAATAAGTATACACTTTTTGGAATAGATTCGGGAGTCGCCGTCTTCGATTTTTTTTATCCAAATCTTAAGGGATGACCTGGCAAGGGTCGCTTCGACTTGGAATTTTGATTCTGAGGCAAAGGTTGAAAACTTCCACTATCGAACAAGTTCCGCGCTGCAAAAGATGCTGATTCGCGGATTAAGTTGCGTGTTCTGTTAACAAGTGTCTGAGTTCCTTGAGAATTGTGTAGTTCCTCACGAATGCAAGCGCGAACCTCGTTGCGAATGGACTCTCTATCCGGCACTCACGCCATTTTGAGTTCACTCGCAAATCGTATCTCCCAGCATGCACTCGGGGCTACATAGTCAGTAGCGCAAAGCAAATTGGGATTTGTTGACTTTTAAGGTGCTTGTTGAATGTGATCGATATCCATGAATGTGATCAAATTTGAATTCTTAAATTATGCAGCATTTGGCTTCCATAGTTTGCTGAATACAATGCGTGACTTTGAATGTCATCGAGATGCTTGTTGAACTTGATTGATTTTCGATGTGTTAAATATGAATGTCTGGAATGTTCATGTTGAATGTGATGTATGACCTTGAATATAATCGAGATGCCTGTTGAATTTGATTAATTTTCATGTCTTGAATGCGAATGTGATCGTTGAATGTGATCGTTATCCTTGAATGTGATCAAATTTGAATTCTTGAATTTTGTACGATTTGGCCTTCCAGACTACTCTTAGTCTAGTAAAATTAACACTTCAGAGAAAATTCTAAATTAAATATTCTGAAAATTAATTCGACACTTCCAAAAGGATCAGTAAAGTCAATAAAGCTCTTGTTATGTAGAGGGTGCCCGGCTTTCAATTTCCTCAATAGACAAGTTGAGCTTCTAGGCGTTAAAATAATAGAGCCAGTGTTTCTGCATAACGTCCTGTCTGTCTTAAATTTTTACAGCGACGAAACATTCTTGAAAGAAATTTGAAGCAATTGACAGTCAAAGGAAGGTTGATACCATATCCTTTTCAGATTTATTCCATTTTTTTTCCCCTTGTATAAATTGGCCTGAGATCTGACGTCCGTCCCTTTGTCTTTAGGAGTCGAGAGAAAAAGGCTCCTTTTATAATAAGTCCTTTTTTGTAATCAGTCCCATGCAATCCATTCCATTCGTCCATTTTTCACGGGATCATTTGCGGCCGACTTTGCGGATCACTTACGGTCGAGGATCATTTGTGGTCCATTTTGGGGATCATTTGCGGTACTGTACAGGGCGCTTCATCAAGGGGGTGCTTATTTAGTTTTCCTTTCAAATAACTGTAATTTTATTTTTGCTCAATCTTTTTTAATAAAAATAGAAAAACAAATTAAAGCAAACACTACATTAAGTCAATATAAGAGGTGAAACGTCTTTCGCTCATTAATTTTAAACAAAACACTCCAATACCGTATTTGCTTGTATTTCCAACTAACTGCAATTGCTTAGCTTGTGGACCGTACTCTCTCTGGAAACGTTCCGGAAAGGCTGATTTGAGTAGAGTTAACAACCCACAGACATAACTGCAACCGATTCAAATAAACAGCCTTGCTCGTTTCCACTTGGCACAGTTTTTAAAGCTGTCAGCATGAAAGGAAAACGAAATGCTTAGTTAATTTTGTTGTAGAAACCTGAATTTCAGAAAAAGAAAAGGTACCTAGAGCATTTAGATCACTTCAAGGCTCCGCAACAGAAACAGATCCCATTATTTTACCAAGCAACTCTTATTCCATAACTTAATTAAAATACACAAAGTTAATTATTTAGGGATTATTCTTCTCAACAATACTATAAAACACTCGAGTAACATTTAGAGACCATTCATTATTTATGCCAGGGGGTGGGCTGCTAAGATCTATCAGAAAGCACAACAAAACGTTTTGACCCCTCTAAATGTGCTTCTGAAAACTGGCTACCCCCCTTCCCCCAGAAAAAAAATATGTATGTAAGAACAAAAATTCAAAACGCAAGCTAGAGATTGTTTGAACTAGTCTACATCACTATATCAACCAGACCCTTTTCATCCCCAGTGATATACTCTGCTCTCTCTCCTGTGCTGGAACTATAATAAATAGACAGGGAATACATCACAAACGGTTTTTTGGGTTCAGGAAACGACGTATTATCCCTGATTCTTCAGGAATATGCAGAAATGGAAGAGGAACGAATGCGAACAATGCCTGAAAAGTGGCCAATGACGGTAGCCGCAAGGATCGATGACACGGTTAGGTTTCAATTTTTTTTTTTTGTATCGGAAAAACCAAGTGAGAGTTTGTTGTTCATTCCAAAGTAAAGAGTATTGGTCAAAGATAAAGCGTTGATAAAAAACGAACCAGGCTGACAGAACATAAAAAAGTATAGATTTCCGTGAAGCTCACTTCCAGCGAGTGGCAAACCTCTATAGAATATAAGTAAGACAGCCGGGTAGATTAACTGGGGCACTATTTCACGCTGGTAAAATCCAGCAGATAAAGGTAAAAAAGGATTTATTTCATTTTAAACTTTCACTTAAAGGCAAGATAAAAAGAACGATAAAATCCAACCAATCAATGTTTGTTTCAAACAAGTTTAGAAATAGACGCAAACGTCTCTAGGGAAGAGCAAGAAGTATTGTCTTCTAGTAATTCTGTCGAAATACGTGACTGCGAGCTTGACCTTTCTGTTGATCATTGCAGTAGTGGGAACTCCTCAGAGACCAAGCTAACGAGGAAGACCTCTGGACGTATTATTGGGACATAAATTATCATTTCGTAGAAATTGTGACTGTTTTCTTTATTAGCTTAAAACTGCCAGTTATGAACTGTTAGCCTTTAGGAGGCTTGCAAACCATTTACCGCTAGTCCCGAGAGCACTGAAAGTATTTGTTTTAAAAGAAAACAAAAATAAAAAATCAGGTAGCCCCCCTCTTTGTGTGCAGATTTATTGATGACTACCCTCTGGCTGTCCTTACATTGACGTGGCCGACCCCCCCTTCTTGACAGCCCACCCCGTGGCATAAATAATAAATAGTCGCTTAATCTGAAGGAACCCCGGTTGAGGCGGGTCGTTCAGCCGGCTCACTTGCACTACGATCACAGGCATGCCAAGCTTCATGAATACTTTTTATTGGCTTTGAAGGGAACGTACAAATTGTAGAAATTAATGAACTCTGCTCACTTCGACGTGGGTTTGCAGACCTTTACTTTTCTGTGTAACCTGGACTGCAGTTCAAGGACCTGGCACGTTTATTAAGAAAACAGACAAGCCGGTTTTTAGTCGAGGGAAACTGTCATATCTTATTTATACGACAGACGCAGGGGCGTGGCCAGCCCATAGACCGGTAGGCCCGGTCCTACAAATTTTTGGTTTGATCCCTCTACCGTTTGGAATAAGTTAATATGTGTTGTTGAATTGGGGTGAGCTAAAAAGTTTAATCAAAGTGTTGGTGAGGTCAGTGCGTACTATATCCGCGCAGTGGTTACCGCCTTTGCGGATTAACAAAGCAAAAGCGGTAATAGTAAAAGTAATTCTGCTTGCAATTATATATCAGGATGTGTAGAAATGAAAGTCAGCCAAGCCTACAACTAGTCGAAAAGCTCACTACGCCGGTGAGACGTTTATATCTAAAACTACATCGAGTAGTGATCACCGTTTGGATAAAAACGTCCCATTTTGATTATACACTCTTTTTTCATATAAGAATGTTGTTTTTTTCGGGCCAGGCTGAATATTCTTATTTTTCTGCCGATTTTAGCCTGAAAATATTCTTGGATTATTCTTGAATTGTAATTGAAATTGTAATTTTTTTATTGTTATTACTATTATTTTTTTCGCTGTAAACTATAGATATGTATTTCATGTACCGTTCATCGAACTGTCATTAACACTGAACATTTGGCTATATAATCAATGTAGGTTTCTTCGTTTTGTTGGGTAGCTTTGCCATGGGACAGCCTCCTCCTCAGGCGCTTCGTTTTTCGCATGGTAGAGGCGAGCGCTAAACGCGAGTGACTGGTGATGAACTGCAAGGGACCATGGGAAGGGTACAGACGGCAGGCGAAGCGCCTGTCAGATCTTATGTCGTTTTCTTGGCAAAAAAGGCGTTCTTTTGGCATGGCCCAATTTTTGGTCTTTTAAGTCTTGGAAGCGATCAATTTTAGTACCATATTGTTGTGCACATTGTAACTTTAAGTAGACAGGTGAGTGGTTCAAAACCTGAGGTAGAAGTGGCTGCAAAAGAGTCGGATTCTCACATGTACCACAGGCGGGCCAGACGTAGTGTGTGTCAATATAATAATATTCACATGGACAAAATGGGATGATTCGTCGAAACTCCCATGAACTAAAATAGTCCAACAGTCAAAATATAACAAAACAAAGCTAAAATACCTTTAACTGAACGTCTCCTTGTCTTTCCTGGCCGGTTAAAGCGGCATTTTGATGAGTTTTGCAACCGTAGGTACTATTCACTAAATAAGAATTAAACGCTGGCTACAAAACAAACGGACCATCTCCACGTGCCTTCACGCGAAGCGCTATAAATTGGAGAATAATCGACGAATCCGCTCCAAATTGCCATCGGCTAATCTGCAGGTAACGTGTGCTGCGGCTTCTTGGTCGCTGGCTCCACAAAACCCATCGCAACTGCACAATAATCGCTCGCTCATCAACAAACACTGTTGACCTTTACGCTTCGATATGACTGCAAACTGCCAGGATTAGTACGCGACGTGAATATTCAAGCTTAGCGACCGCGTCCGCGCGACAATGAATCACTTGCCATGGGAGGGATGGTACTATTGCTTCTAGGTCAATCGATAGAGAAAATAATATTGAAGCCCTTGTAATTTTCAAAAAGATCCCGTTTGCCCTAGGATCACCGAACAGATGCGAATTTTACAGCGGAGCTAAAAAAAACGAGCGGCAGTGGAAAAAGTGAACAAAAACATGTACCACGTTTCCTCTATAAAACGTGAAACCCTGGAACTTTCTGGACGTTTCACGTTGTAGTCATGAAAATCAGCGGCAAGGAAATGTACAAAAAAGTGTGCTGCAATAAGGCCTATTGTTGTTTTTCACAGTTCTGGTCAAGGGCAGCCAACGACTCTTTTCTGTAAAATATCTGTTCGGAGAAGCAAATTTTGCCTATAATTTTCTTTCACCTGGTTAAAAATTTCTAGATCCATGACCATTCCATTCATGTACAACTTTCGAAGCTCAATTTTTCACATTTCACTCCCCGAGTTAGGCTATTTTTCGTGGATAAGAAATCCCAAAATTTTCGAATTCAAAAATGTAATGAAAGAAGGAATCTGAAAAATTATCTCCTTTGTAATACGTTAAATTGCATCTAAAACTTTCGGAAAAATAATTCTGAATTTCTCGTAATTTCGAAAAGACTCAAGTTCCCCTAGGATGGCCGAAAACTGAGCTATAAATTTTATAGCGCCGCTTAGAATGCATTTCTATAGAGCTAAAAGTACTTTATGAATAGCTAAAAAAGTGTTTTCAATGTATTTGAGGAAACCGTTGTTGGGTGCCCCTGTCTCGTTGCCATATCAGCTTAGCATTACACGATTTTATATTTAGCATGAGCAAACTATAAATATTATCGAGAGCTTCGCTTTTAGCCCACCTGACTAAATCTGTGTGTAAGCGCCGCTTAGAATGTATTTTTAGAGATCTTAAGTACTCTGGACAGCCTTAAAAGTGTTTTCAATGCATTTAGGGGGAAATCGTTGCTGGGATTCCCTTAGTTTTGAAAATAATAATAATAATAAAAGATATCCCACACATAAATTTTACTTTACCGTATCTTCAGCCGTATCTTCTATTCAGGTGCATAGCCGAGGCCAGATTTTGCCTTTTTCCTATGAGGAAAATCCTCGTCCTCCCTCATCAGTTTGGACAACATATTGTGGAGTAAGACGTAGTTCTGAAAAGAACTGTTTATTTAATTAATCCAAGCAAATAGGTCCAGTAGAGTCAAGAACCTATGCAAGTGGCTGGACGAACAAAGTGACAGCAGCTGTGACAGCGAACGTTAGAAGAATTCGAACTTGAAAACCAGAGCCGCCCTGTTGAAAACGTACGGACGGTCGCGCGATCGCATATTGTTTTCTGGTGAAAATTAATGCAGCGGACCCTCCCTCAGTGTCGATTGACCTAGAAGCAGTAGTACCATCCCTCCTATAGCAAGTGATGCATTCTCGCGCGGACGCGGTCACTAAGCTTGAATATTCAGGTTATTCTTTCATGTTACGCTTACGCGAAATAGACCCACTGTTTCATATAATAGTCATAGACTGTCCATGCTCATGTATACCCTGGGTGCTTATTACCATTTGACAGAAAATTTCGGAAACTCCGGATGGAAGGTAAATGGTAAGGTCACCTTTCGGAAATTCGAACCGAAAATTGAGGAGTTCGTTTTGAGGTAGTCCGTTCATTCCAGTTGGTACGAACGAAACGGAATTTTGTGTACCATTAACCAGTTTCTTAGCCTGCGAAAACATCCGTTTCTCCTCGCTCTTCGCCGCTGGGGACGTTTCGAGAGGAGGAACGTCTGCGACTCAGCGACAGAAATTCCATACTGATGACGCAAAATCTGTCCGGAATCTGGTCAGAAGCGCTGATTGGTCGACAGAGTAGTTACATTGTTTTAGCTATTGTTTACAAATGACAGACAAAAGACAAAAGGCCACAGAGGTCAAATGTAAACGCGAAGAATCTCTAGCAAAACAGTCAATATTTGTTGAATATACTCTTCTCTAGAAGAAGAATTTGAGTTCTGCTGGAGCTCGTTGGCAGATGAACACAAAAATTTACCAAAATCGACCAGAAGACACGTAAAACTGTACAAATTTGTATTTGGAACCCCATGACTACCGAATTTATTATGTAAACATTGATTTGCGTCATCAGTATGGAATTTTTGCCACTGAGTCGCAGACGTTCCTCCACGCGAAACGTCCCCAGCGGCGAAGAGCGAGGAGAAACGGGTGTTTTCGCAGGCTACCAGTTTCTAGGTTCCTTCTCGGTTCCAGACTCACGCTACTCAAATTCCTCTCCCCTCTTTTTTGGATTCAAACCGTAACGGATGTGGCAATTCTGCAATAAACTGGTCAATCGCTTACCATTATGCTTTCGACACCCCAGCCGGATACTTCTGTCAAATGGTAAGCACCCCCTGTATACCCTGTAAAGAATAACCAATATTCACGTTGCGCATTAATCCTGGCAGTTTGCGGTCATATCGAAGCGTAAAGGTCGACAGTGTTCGTTGATGAGCGAGCGATTATTGAGCAGTTGCGATGGGTTTTGTGAAGCCAGCGACCAAGAAGCCGGAGCACACGTTACCTGCAGATTAGCCGATGGCAATTTGGAGCGGATTCGTCGATTATTCTCCAATTTATAGCGCTTCGCGTGAAGGCGCGTGGAGATGCCGTCAGTATAAAAGATGGACTGCGGACTGCGGACTACGGTCTGCGGACTGGGTATAAAATATGGACTAGGTATAAAACGCGGACTGGAAAATACGGACAAGGTATAAAACGCGGACTGGAAAACACGAACAAGGTATAAAACGCGGACTGCGGACTAGGTTTAAAATACGGACTACGGACTACTTTGGTACTGAGACGGTGCTAATTGGTTCTAGGTAAGGAAAAATAAGATCAAAAAATCGCTAAATAGCAAGACACGTGAGTTAAAGTTGTGAATACTCCTATAAATTCTTGGTGGAGGTGTGCTGCCCGGTTCTCTGAATCATGAGCCAGATCAAAATGCTATTTTCTTCACCCATTTTTAGACCTTGTCTCGGTCTCTAACAATCACCAAAGGGGTCAGGATCAGGGGGTACTCCCTTATATAAGGGAAGGGTAGGTGTTTTGGGCCTCTTTGGTCTGAAAACACTTTGCCCATTTTGGTCTGGAATCGGGTATGGTTTTCGAGAGAACTACGGGAGCGTACATGAATGGACGTATATCGTTTCAATTCCAAATGAATAAGAACGAAATAGAAATGTGCTAATTCGAAATGCATTTGGAGAATTTTTTTTTGTTTCCGCTCTAACTTGGTAATGATGACATAATTTTTACCTAATTAGACCTAACCTGTTCCAGGCTCCGAGATAGTTGGGTCCGCTTAATTGGGGAAGCGAAAACACGAAAATAAAACGGGAGAAAACTGGGGAGTCTGCCCAACTATCTGAGTGCCTGGAACAGGCTAAATTAGGCCAGGTCCGAAAATGGGTATGGATTTTAGAGATCTGGTCTGAAAACGGGTGTGGAAAATGACATTTTTTGGTCTGCAATAAGGTCAGGATTCGGAGAACCGGGCACCACACCCCCACCAAGAATTCCCAGCAGTACCCCCCTCCGGGGATCAGGAGCAGGGTGTAAATCATGACATCATAATCATCGCTTAGAATATAACGTTGGATTACTCATTTCAGTTATTATTCACGTGTGTGAGTAATCTCTTCCCCCTGAATACTGCTTTTGTGCATCGCGGAATGCCAAACATTGACCTTCTCGTCTGAGTTCTTCGTTCAGTCCTCATATTCCCAAGGCTTTATTTGAAACGGAATTGTGGCATCCCATAATAATTTTACTGATCTAACACCAATACTATTTTTTTTTTAATTCGGTGCTTCTCATTGGTTTAAAACTGCAAATTGAAATCTCTTCTAACTCTTTCCTTTTATAAAATTCAGAGTTTAATTTCAGTTGCCTTGAGTACCGGCATAACCTTCCTTCTCCGTGGGAAGAATGGACTACGTGAACAGCCAAGGGAATGTTAAAGCTGGGACTACTGTTTTTGCTAGTCCGCTTTCCATTTCTCTCAGTTTTACCTTTCTAAAGCTGTTTTTATATACATAGTCGGTAGTCCGCGTTTTATACCTGGTCCGTGTTTTATACTCAGTCCGGAGTCCTCATTTTATACCTAGTCCGTATTTTATACCCAGTCCGCAGTCCGTGGTCCGCAGTCCGCAGTCCATATTTTATACTGACCGCGTGGAGATGGTCCGTTTGTTTTGTAGCCAGCCTTCAATTCTTATTTAGTGGATAGTACCTACGATTGCAAAACTCAACAAGATTCCACCTTAACCGGCCAGGACGAAGAAGGAGACGTTCAGTTAAAGTTAAAGGTATATTGTTTTGTTTTGTTATATTTTGACTTTTGGACTATTTTAGTTCATGGGAGTTTCGACGACTCATCCCATTTTGTCCATGTGATATTGATATATTAACACACACTACGTCTGGGCCGCCTCTGCATGTCCGAACCGAAGATCTTGCCAAGGTCTTCGGTTTGATGACTTGACGGTATCGGGTAAGTCTTATTTCAGTATTTAACTTGTCGTTTATTGTAGAATCCGGATTAGTAAATACAGCGCTGGCGGCTTATGTTTCTATTTTTCGCTGTTTGAGGCCAAATCCGCCGAACAACGTGTAAGTAACAGGGCACCCAACGACGGTTTCCTTCAAAATACGTTGAAAACACTGTTTAGGCTATCCAGAGTACTTTTAGATCTCTAGAAATGCATTCTAAGCGGCGTTACCAAATTTTTTTTTTTTTGTCATCCAAGGGGAATTTCAGTCTTTTCGAAATTACAAGGTCTTCAGTATTTTTTTTTTTTGAAAATTTTAAGTGTATTTTAACGTTTTACGAAAGTAAGAATTTTTCTGATTCCTCTCTCCATCACATTTTAGAATCCGAAAATTTTAGGTTTCGTTTTTCTAATTTTTAAGAAAAAAAATAGTGTAACCTGGGTAGTAAAATTTAAAAATTAAACTTCTGAAAATCGTAGGGAATTTATTAGAAAAGCTTGGAAAATTGTACACGAATGGAACGTTCATCTAGAAATTTTTAGCCGTCCATAAGCAAAAAGAAAAGTTTAGGCAGTATTTGCTTCTCCGAACAGATGTTTTACAGAAAACAGTCGTTGGGTGCCCATGAAGTAACCTTGTGAATTGAAAGAACCGCGAGGCCTGGCTAAAGGTCAGGAGTTGATTATGAAGACCACATTATGTCCTTACAGCGAGATTTAAGTCTGTGACGTTACTAACTATGAAACCAGGGACCGATGGATATGTTTAAGTTGGTGTTTTGACAAAATAAATAGAACTGCAAAACGTGTGCAAGCTTACATTTACCTAACTCAAGGATTCTCGGGTGATAAGTAATGAACTTTATTTTCGGATCTGGGAAGGGCTTGAAGAGAAGGAAGGTGCCAGCATCTATCAATCAATTATTTTGGACTACCTCAGTCAATCTTGATGAGGGAGACAAAAATCTCTTGCTATAAAGGCAGTCTTCTCCAGCTTAAGTTTTTTTGGAATTTTTTTAATATTGTACAATAATTATTCTGAAACTCACAAAATGGTGAACACCAGAAATATTTATGGAATGTTATTGCGTTGCGAGAAATAAGCCAATGAGGAGCAAGAGAACTAAACCGCAAACAGCAACAGTAATTAGTTTATGGTTTGAAGGTTTGCTTGCGTATCCTGAACATTATTGTGATTCAACATTCCTGAAAAATTTCAAGTGTTCACGGTTTTCTGAGTTTGTCAGTAATGCTGTGCATGATATTCTTATCCATTTTATCTTTTGTAGGAGATTTGTTATTGCTATCGTTAGTTTTAACTTTATTTCATTTTATTTAGCTAGATGTCTTGCATGATGGCACCCCTAGTGCAAGACTAAAAATTTTTAAATAAAGGTTGAATGAAAGTAATGCTGTATAGTTCAGTTAAAACACATTTGTTCAATGACCACACAACTACGTCTCATACAAACTGCTCTGTAGTCTCAATGTTGCTTATATTTATTGGGACACACAAATGTTAAAGAAGGGGACTGAACAGTGTTAACCCTCTTTTTAACAGAAGTCAGTTCAATGACATGCCAATTCAATAATCTCAGTAGCCTGTGTACAGCAATTTTTTCTGAGAGGAGGGGGCAACTGTACATATGCTATTATCTCAGTATAAGTTTAAAAAAAACACATCAATCCAATTTCCATTGTCCAAAATCAAGGAATTATAGGGGCAAAATATTTTTTTACTTTGGGCAAGACAGATCGAGTTTAAGTTGGAAGGGGTGCAGGTTTTCTCTTTTGGTGACCGTAGTTCAATGACGTGACCACATCACAGTTCAATAATCACAGCAGAATTTCATAAAACATACTTCAATTCAATGTCCAGTGACACTAATTTAAGGAATAGGATCAATAGTTTTTATTACTCTGGGTGAGGTGGAAGCAAGGGAAAGGGGTGAGGGTTTTCAATGGCGCTGAGGTCCATACTTAAAACAGCTTGCATTTTTCATTGCTTGACACTGTTAATAGACCTGATATTAGCCTTTTTTTTTACTAAAACTGTAGCGTTTTCAATACTACTGCATATTCTTCCAGTTTGTCCAGGGGCCCGTTTTTATTGTTCCTTTCATTTGATGCTTGTATCTCGGTTATAATTTTGTAGTTAAAATTTCTAGGAAGAGGGTTGGGGGTTAGTGGTTCTGCAGAACCATCTATACTTATTTTACCGTCCATGCATTTGGCAATTATGTGCTCATTGATAATTATTATATGACCTTGTATGCCTCTGCAACTCCATAGTAGGTCAAAAACTACCCCTTCAGAAGACTTTTTGAAGGGAATTTTATGCTACCACAGGTTTGCAAAAAGAAAGGGACCATGTATAAACAATCACAGGTGTAACAACAATGGTGAATCTGGGTCGATCCCAAGAACTTCATAATACACAGTCTTTCCACCACCAGTTAGCGTTAGGACAATGCAATCATTATTCTCTAAAATGAAATTTGAAACATCCCAACACAATTATTTTTTTCAAAAAAAAAGTGTCTAGGGCCACATCTTCTGTCTGGTTAAGTGGTAGTTACGATGGTATCTGATCAACTTCATAAGCCCCCTCCATCGGGGTAACAAAATTGTCTATCAACTTAAAAGCAAAGTTAGCAATGATTTATTTACTAAGACACAAATGATGTGTTCCAAGAGAGCATGGTAAAACCCAATTGGTCTACTGTATAATATCACAAAAACAAAAACCAAAAAAAAAACAATACACACAATAAGTATTTGCTGCACATTCGACACAGCTTCATCATGAAATGAGGTATATAATTAAAAAGTAAGTAGAATTTATTTACACCGGGCTGTGCATTCAGTGACAAGTGTGGTATCCGGTGAGGTAATCGAACAATAAAAAAATACAATTGAAAAAATCTAAAGCTAGTTTGAACGCTTTTTTTACTTTACATGAGCTTACATTGCCCAGCAAATGATACAAAACATGATATCCTGAGACAAACGTTTAAAAATTATTTTATTATCTATTTAATAACATAACTTAGAGGTCTTGAGACTGGACGTGACTAGTTTGTTGCCTTTAATTTCGAGTACTCAAGATATAGTATGCAGCAAATAGTATTTTAAAGCTTTACAAATATCTCGCTTCATTTGGCTGTTACAACAATTGTCAGTCATTTTTCATTTCGACTGAAAAGATCGTTTCATCACTGGCGATCTTAACAGAAACGATTACTAACTAACTAAGTTAACGTTCCTGACCGGCTGTTACCTTGGTGCGCGCAGCAGTTTCATTAAATTAAATCAAGGCAGTCCGTCCGCGGCTAGTAGTTCTTCGATGACTTTTCGGTAGTAAACATTCTGAGTCTGTTATGATGCTTGAGTCTTTTTGTGTGGGGTAAAAAAGTTGAAAACCGCTTTCCCTTCATACACACGATGTGAATAGGCATGCAATGATTTACTCTAAATTCGCAAAATAAACAGGGCTGAACTTATTTTAAAAATTGCATATTCGTCCGCCATTACTCTTGCCGCCATCGTGAAAACAAGATCTGCCAGACGTCTAGCCTGCGTAGCAAGCGTTTCCGCGCGAGTTCGTCGAGAAAGTTGGGAAGAGAGCAAAAAAAGGAATGACGGGGGAGGGGGAGGGGAAAGAAGGAACCGCTTGCCCGCAAACCCCACGATATTCAAAAACTACGTTCGCCCACGAACGCAGCTTCTGATTGGTGTGGTGCTAGTAGTGTTGATTGCTTAGCACTTGAAACATCAATCAAACCAGGTATGCTTTGTTTACGAGCGTCACAGATCTGGTCTCATCTGATTTGTGGTCGCAGATTGCAAATGCTTTGGACTGACATTTATTTCAATCGTGTTTGTGCAAAGGTTTATGAGATCATAGTCTTCAAAGTATATTTGGAGATCGAGCAGTGGAGACTAGGGAAGGCCAATTTATTGGGTATGACGGCGTGCGGATCTGACTTGAAAAAAACAAATGTACTATTTGTTGGAGATAACATCAACGTAAATCAGAACATCAGTACTCAACACTAGCTAAAGCCGCCATAGACAAGCGATTTGTTAGATTTTTGAAATGAAAAGATTATTTTTGTTTATTGGAAATTTAGAGGCATGTATTCTAGAGAACGTTTCGACACGGGCTGAAGAGCAGCCGCTCTGCACACAGGCAGCCCAAGCGCACTATTTGTGGGTTCGGGCTTCAGAGGTCATTTGGTCGGAATATACTAGAATTATTAGCGTATTATCTAATGCCAAATAAATGCAAAAAGTCTTAAAGATATGAAGTCTTCTTGTTTTTCTATTGGTACTAGTAGCCTTTAAGATAACGAAAATCGATATTTCTTGCATTATTGCATGTGATTCGGGCACTTATTGTTCGAATTTTATCACATGTATTCGAATCTACAACGCTAAGGAAAAAAAAAATCATGATCACGCGAAATATTGATTCAAAAAGCTCCCTTACCTTTCGTTCATAGCCACTCTGTGTCCTACGGCTGGTTTAAACGCCGTTTAGTCGACTTTCTTTCCATCGAGTACTGAACACTATAAAAGAAGGGAAGGCTGGAGACCTTCCAATTGACCCTCGCCGCTCGAAGGCCAATAAATTCCAAACAAAGCGACCGATCTCCCTAAAATTGCCACCAGCCAGACCGAAGAGTGTACACCTACCCGTTCGACGAGCGCCAGGTTCTAAATTCGGCTGCATGAGCTCGAGGATCGTTGCATTTCGCATCGATTCTGGCCAGCTTCGCTTCGCCATGATGCGCAATCTTAACTGTTATCCTACGAGATTCAAATCTTGGAGCTTAACGACGGCGTCAGATGGACAAAACGTCACTCTCGCGGGGGGAGGGTCGTCACTTTTGCCCTATCGCAAACCGACACCGTCCGGCGAGCCGGTGCGTTTAATTCGGCCGGAAACAGCTGACACGTGTATGACACATGAAACCCAAAAACGTCCCAGACTGTCTTATCTCCGATTTGAGATTTAAATCTTGCCAATAACGGTTCCAAAATCAGTTTGTTGCAGTCCGTTGTTTGGGTCAGTAGTTCTGTTCAAGTTCGATATTTCCTTTCGTATTTTAACAATAGTTCTTTTCAGAGCTACCCTAAAATATATTTTTCTTTTACACGTAGCTTGTTTGTTAGTAAAATCGCGTGTATTTCGGTTCCTGTGGTGATCGCGTGTATTTCGGTGCCTGTGTCTAGCGTTTGAAGAAAGTCTGTTGATAACGATGTTCTCAAAAGTAGCCAGACAAGAGGAGGATTTACCTCCGAAGAAGAAAAGGAAATCTTTTGGCTATTCAGAAGAGTGGAAAATAATAAAGACAGTCTGGGACGTTTTTGTGTTTCATGTGTCATACACGCGTCAGCTGTTTCCGGCCGAATTAAACGCACCGGCTCGCCGGACGGTGTCGGTTTGCGATAGGGCAAAAGTGACGACCCTCCCCCCGCGAGAGTGACGTTTTGTCCATCTGACGCCGTCGTTAAGCTCCAAGATTTGAATCTCGTAGGATAACAGTTAAGATTGCGCATCATGGCGAAGCGAAGCTGGCCAGAATCGATGCGAAATGCAACGATCCTCGAGCTCATACAGCCGAATTTAGAACCTGGCGCTCGTCGAACGGGTAGGTGTACACTCTTCGGTCTGGCTGGTGGCAATTTTAGGGAGATCGGTCGCTTTGTTTGGAATTTATTGGCCTTCGAGCGGCGAGGGTCAATTGGAAGGTCTCCAGCCTTCCCTTCTTTTATAGTGTTCAGTACTCGATGGAAAGAAAGTCGACTAAACGGCGTTTAAACTAGCCGTAGGACACAGAGTGGCTATGAACGAAAGGTAAGGGAGCTTTTTGAATCAATATTTCGCGTGATCATGATTTTTTTTCCTTAGCGTTGTAGATTCGAATACATGTGATAAAATTCGAACAATAAGTGCCCGAATCAGATGTAATAATGCAAGAAATATCGATTTTCGTTATCTTAAAGGCTACTAGTACCGATAGACAAAGAAGAAGACTTCATATCTTTAAGACTTTTTGCATTTATTTGGCATTAGATAATACGCTAATAATTCTAGTATATTCCGACCAAATGACCTCTGAAGCCCGAACCCACAAATAGTGCGCGTGGGCTGCCTGTGCTGTGCAAAACTTATAGCGGACGGAGTGAATTGTTCCGGACAAATCATTGTTGACGTTTCGACAAGGTTTCACGACGAGATAAAGCCACACAATAACAACAACAAGAAATTCCGCAGCAACCTCTCAGAGGTTTACCTTCTTGTGTCGTAAACCTTTTTTATTACAGTTTTTGCAATCGCATGGAACGTGTTCTATTAGAGAACAAAGTAATTTTAGAAGTCTGGCAATCCAGGGGTAATCTGTTCGTTATACTTCTATTTTGACGAGCTGTCAATTTACAAACGAACCGAACCGTGAAATATCAAGGGGCGTTTTTCAGAATCGTGGGGTTTGCGAGCAAGCGTTTCCTCTTCTCCCCTCCCCCTCCCCCTTCCACCTTTTTTTATCGCTTCCGATCTAACTTTCGCGCAATAACTCGATTGGAAACGCTTGCTACGCAGGCTACCAGACGTCTCGCCCGTTTTCTCCTTCCCGCCTTCCTTTGCGCGCACATTTTCATCGAGAGAGAGACGTCTGGGTACCAGGCAGGCCGGTTTCCGACGCCATCTTGACGAGCAGGCAAACGCGTGAGAAATTACAGTATTTGTATGAGAATCTAATGTCGAATAATTTCCGTAGAACGGCTGTTCTGGAAAAGAAAAAAAAAGAATTGTAAACTAAAACTTCACTCCTAAGGATTCTACTGAAAAAATTGAGGACGTTACATGCGCTAGAAGACCTAGAACCACTTTTTTAAATTTTCTATACATTTGTCTGTAAGAAATTCCGGAAAAAATTACAGACAAATATATGGAAAATCTAAAGCAAGCCTCTGGAGAAATTTAAGTACAGGTACGCCCCTAAATGTTTAAGTACCATCCTTTGCTTTGTAGCTTTAGTTTACAACTGATATTTTTTTCAGAAAAGCCGTTTTACGGAAATTATTCGACATTAGATTCTCACGCATGCAAACACTGTAATTTCTCATACGTTTGCCTACTCGTCAAGATGGTGTCGAAAACCGTGACAAGATCTAGAACTTGATACTCAAAATAATCATCCTTTTCGAAATCTCAGCCTCGGGTTTATTCTTAAAATATTCTTAAAATTTTGCAAATTTCAGGCTCGGTATTCTTATAAAATATAGTTTTATAGAAAAAAAAGAGTGTATATCTGTAATTCAGTTAAAACAAGGTTTTGACCATGAAATCATACATTTACTTTTAGTTTCATGTGGTTCAATAGCTCGTCTGTCGTATGAATATAACATGACACTGAAAAGTCCTACGTACTGTGATCGAACTTGATGCGTAGTGAGTTTTTTTTCGCAAATCCAACTCGAAATCCATATCGAATCCTAACTCGAAAATCCAACTCGAATCCTAACTCGAAAATCTAATTCGAAAAACCAACTCAAAATCTTTGCTCGGAAATAGGTATTCTCCTCTCCAATGACAGATCCATGACAGTTCTTGAATTCATTGTTATAGCTGATTTCTTCCCATTTACTTCAGCTATTATACTTTCATTACAATGCCACCATACCAGCAACCAAATAACGACGGCTCTTGTTTCTTTTCAGTACTTTGTCCAAGAGGTTGGCTTTCAAGTTTTCATGGCGGATGTTTCAAAGTCCATTCCAATCC